GCATATACAAACCTATACGTATTTCTTTGTATTTAATTATCAATTAAGCTGTTGTATATATATATATATATATATATATGTATATATAGATATATATATATGCATATACAAATCTATATGTATTTCTTTGTATTTTATTATTAATTAAGCTGTAGTATAATATTTCATAGACCATTTCGTATGTGTTAGATTACACATGTTTGAATATATTGCGATTCTAGTTTTCATATGATTAAGATCGAGAAAGGTCACGGACCCAATATTCGCTCATCGCTCTTCATTTTAATCGTGATTTTCATTCACAGTCTGGCCGAATAATCATAGGTCTGTTTGGGGCTCGTATTGGTCTGATGGTCAATGGGGTTTCCAGTGTTGCTATTCAACAGTTTATAACTCCTACTGTGTGGGAGAGGCCGGCAAACGTGCCAAGCAACTCAGTCGAAACGCGAATTCGTTGCTGAAGAGTGCCTCTAAAGCTGCTGACGGATTTGAAAAGCCGAAATCGTTACTCGAGGTATGTAAGCGGAGCTTTTTAGTAAAAGTGATAAATTATGGTAGGATTTAGCAATTAGCAATGGTCCAATATAGTTGTGTCAGCAATATTGAGTATTGATACTAGTCGGTTAGCAGGTTACTGTTCAATTTTCATAGCAATGTGCACTTTAGAGCGTGATTTGACCCATTTGGACAGTAAGGATATCGATTCGCAAAGAACTGACGGCATTGTCTATTCAACACCTTATTGTGTCGTATTTCAGGAACACTACGATAGAGGAGAGAGTGCTGAAAAGGCATCGAAGAAGAATAAGAAATCGAGTAGGTCTAAAGATAAAATGGGTAAGTCGAGCAATACTGTCCCAGCAGTTGGTTCTTGTCGTCAGTTTGGGATCTTGATTTAATTATCTATTGGCATTTCGTTATTGCTGAGCTATGTTCGCGGGGTTTATTAGTTTCTAATGTGCACAACCGATGAATGATCTTTCGTACAGACAACGGGGACGAAGATGAAGATCCTAAAGCGCGCATGAAGAGAATAAAGAAAATATTAGAGAGGGAGGAGAAACGAGAGAAAAGCATACAAGACGGCGACGAGAGGAAACGAAAATACAATTCATTCAAGGGCAACAACCATGACGAGCCCACCGAGGAAGAGATGGAGGCCTGGAAGATCAAAAAGGCGAAGGCTGATGATCCTATGGCCGCTTTCATGTAACTCGAGTAGTAGGTTCTCAGATGCTTGTCGTTGCTCATGTACGTGTCAAATGTACCGAGTATCGCGAACTACGAGCCATAACGAGCTATTGTGGATATAGCTCCACGGAGATCAACGGCGTTATATAGTATACTGAAAACAGGTTGATATCTGACAGGGGAGCAGTCAAGGCTAACTACAGTAAAAAATAAAATCCACAATGGCGACCGAACTTGCACAGCGCACTCTCTGCCTAAACTATTTATTGGTTCGTTTTCGCCACCGCTTCATTCGACCCAACTCTTAAAAAACTCAACTTTCCTGAATACTTGTTATGAAGTGACGTGCCGTTGTACCCTTTCTCGACTTGTGGCCACTGAATAATCGCAAACCATGGCACAGATCTGCTTCAACCTAGTTTCTCAACTTCAGATATCGCCCGCTTCGTCACGAGAGCTTTTAGCTCCCCCCCTGCAGTCAATAGGTAATGTCTGCAATACGGTATTACAGCACCAGCGAATTATCTTGCGATAGGAGCGACAGCTTCGGGAACTTGCGTCTTCTCTAAACCAACATTAGCCTTAGAGCCGCCTTGTAAATCCGCAAGCATTTTTCACAGCGCTTTGGAATGGCAGCACTTCTAATATATTTGGCGAACCCGGATCAAATCTTTCTATTCACTCTGAAGTAAGGTTAGGGCCTTAAATACCTCAGTTGGAGCTACACATAATTCTATCTCTGACATACGTTGCCACAACCCACGACTATTGGAAGCGATTTCCATGAGAATAGATGGGATCTGAAGGGTAGTTAGAATAAATGGGCAACACCTGTCGTCAAACCAGAAAGAACCGCTAACACTCCAATAGTAGATACGCGTTCAACCCTGTCACTAACCGTGGAGTCTGGGCTAACATATTGCCTCAACACCAATTTTTTTGTTGATATAATAAGATCTTACAGAATGCTATCCCCATAGATAATTGGTAGTACCACCTGCATGTCTGGAGGCAGACACTTCAGGCTGAACTCTGAATCATTCAATCTTCTCTCACTGTAACTGTCCGCGCGTGTTGACGTACAGTCTAAGGTTAAGCGCACTGCGCGTTAACAAAAAATATACTCACACCCGACCATTTGACTGCATAACCCTTGCCGGGCATACAAAGCCAGTGTGACACCAAAAGCGTACAGCAGCCAATATCATGGCTAAGTCGACGCTTAGACTGACGGACACCAAATTTTCAGGCTGCAGAGATGAGACAACTAGCTAGGACTCGAGATGGTTAGAAACACGTACATTCCCCCGACAATCACGACCATCGCCAAGGCACAGATAGACACTAGCAATATTCCGATCTTGAAGTCGTCATTGTAGAGGGAGTTCTTCTCTTCTTTGGTCTGTGGTGGCAGCGTAGCCCATCGACTGGCCACCTCTGGATTGATTCCTTTACCCCCGCCTCGATACTTTGAACCGGCCATCCCAGCTTGTGTATATGTATAACTATAAAGGGTATACGTATATTTTTCTTATTATTAAGGTACTATGCATGTGTAATTGTGAATGGGTTTTGCCTTTATGTACTCTGGCGCGAAAATAACAAATAGAGAGAGAGAGGTAGGGGTTTTAGGTCAAAATCCATAGCCTTTTAAAAAAAAGACACAAAATCACAGTAAATACATTTTATAAATCACGGCTGCGGCGTCATGGGGACAGTAAATAATTTTTAAAGTGGAAACCAAGTGACCTAAAAGATATAAAAAGTTGGAAACGATATGTAGAGCCAATTTTAATTTGAAAGGAGCGTCTTTTAAAAAAAAAGGGGGGGGGGGGGGATAAAAACGTCACTGCTTCACAGATCGATAGCAAAATAACGCCATAATGATTTGGTAAAAAAAAAAAGAGTTCGCCGGTTTAGGGCACTTTGTACGACAACTGAAAACGACAGAAATGCCACAGAGATTGTCGGATTGTCAGATAGTGTCAGTGAGAGTCTTGTTTGAAAGGTGGACAGTCGAAATCGTACACTTTTAGTAGTAGAATATCACTTCGCTTGTTGTTATCTGAAAGCATTGTTATATAGTGTCCATAGTTTACTTGTCCACACAGATCTTTGCTTGCAAAACTATAGACTTACCACTATATCATTAGCAATATGGATGTTGACAAGAAACCTGAAGATATGACGGTAGAGGAGACGGCCCCAGTTGTCAAGTCTGACAAAAAGCGGTTTGAGATCAAGAAGGTATTGTTTGTATTGTTGTTTGCAAGTATCGGAATGGGGTGGTGCGAAAAACAGTTCTCTTATGCACACAAATATTCATATGTTCCGCCGAGCATATAGTATATTTGACAGTAGAACAGAGAAGAGATCTTATGCCTTCTTTAACTTCAAGCGAAGTGTTAACCTTCACGTGTGTTCCGTTTTCGTCGCATGTTTCTGGGCTTACATCTTGCTATAAGTTTGCACGTCTTTACGGGTACGTTGCTTTTAAACCGAGTCTCATATCTTGTTTTCACTAGCAATTCAATTTTGAATCGTTTTTTCTCCGATCCGTTACTTACTGTGTACCATTAACCATTCAATCGCAATTGGGACTATCGTCGGTGATTGTCTTCATGTCTAATAGTGGAACGCAGTAGCGCTCTGGTCTTGGGGTATGTAAACAGTACTATGTAGCGTGAACTCTTTGAGAATATGAATGATTGTTGTTGCTTTGATAATTCTGCCACTGAATGATTCAGTCATATTTGTTGTGATTATATATACCACTCATGTAAATCAATATGAAGTGTATATACATTTAAACATATTAAGAATATGATATATATATACATATATATATATATATATATATATATTCATATGTATATGTATATAGATGCGTATATATATATATATATAATATATTATACATCTATATTATATATATA